ACTCCACCGGGAGCTACACAGCCCCCAAGCAGAGCATCCCAGCCATGTCTAACTCCTTCCTGTGGCTGTTGTCTCTCCCACAGGTACAAGAGCATGGTGACACCACGGCGGGCAGCTGTGGCCATCGCCTGCTGTTGGATAGTCTCTTTTCTGGTGGGACTTACCCCCATGTTTGGGTGGAACAACCTCAACAAGATGCGAAGGACTCAGGAGCTGAACAGCAGCCACACGGAGTTTGTCATCACGTGCCAGTTTGAGACAGTCATCAGCATGGAGTACATGGTGTACTTCAACTTCTTCGTCTGGGTCCTGCCTCCCCTGCTGCTGATGCTGCTCATCTACCTGGAGGTCTTCAACCTCATCCGCAAGCAGCTCAACAAGAAGGTGTCCTCCAGCTCCAACGACCCCCAGAAGTACTACGGCAAGGAGCTGAAGATTGCCAAGTCCTTGGCGCTGGTGCTGTTCCTGTTTGCGCTCAGCTGGCTGCCTCTGCACGTCCTCAACTGCATCACCCTGTTCTGCCCCTCCTGCCAGACCCCGCACATCCTCACCTACATCGCCATCTTCCTCACCCACGGCAACTCAGCCATGAACCCCATCGTCTACGCCTTCCGCATCAAGAAGTTCCGGACAGCCTTCCTGCAGATCTGGAACCAGTACTTCTGCTGCAAAACCAACAAAAACGCCACCAGCACCACCACAGCCGAGACAGGCAACTAGGAACTGGGAGAGGACAGGGAGAGGCGTCTGTGCCCATCCAGTCCCACCTGGACGCTGTTCCTGCTGTCTCAGGAAAGGGTAGCGAGGACCCGATGGGTTCTGAGTTCAGCAGCCCCCTGCAGTCCCTACAGCCACCCCAGGGGGTTATTTATTCACAAGCATTGTACTGTTTGGATATTGTAGCCTGCACTGTTCCTTTCTGGTTTAGGATTTTTTCTCCCTGATTGTTTTTGTTTTTCATTTTTTAAGCATTGCCAAGTATTTAAGGAGAAATTGTACAGACAAATGCGCAATTTATCTTCATGCAAATAAAGTCCAGTAATCCAAACCACCCAGGAGGTGCCCTGCCATTGATGGAGACCCTCAGCTCCATGGTGTTGGTGGTGCTGGTGGCACCTCACACTCTGGCCCCATGTCCATGGAGCCATGGGGGATCCTGGGCACTGGGACAAAGGGGTGCCCTGTGGGAGTGAAGGTGCTGAGAACCAGGAGAATCCAGGGCACTGGGATTTCAGAAGAAATTAAATTTGAAAGCCCTTTCTTTCCCCTCTGCTACCAGGAAGAGGTGAGCTGGGCTGAGACATAGGAAGAGATAAGAAAAGTCTTCCCATGGCATTGCCAGCACCCATAGGGTAGTGAACCCACTGCCCCACAGAGCAAAGGGTCAGTCTCCAGCTCTCAGTACTACTAGAGAGGTAGGCAGAGGAGGGTGTTGGTGAAACACTTAAGCATAATCCCAGAGAACTCTGCAGAAACTGCTTTTGCTTCCCCGATGGCTCCCGTGGGTTCCAGCAGCATCCACCATCCCTGCAAGCTGTACCCAAGGCAGTGTGTCCTCTCCACTTGTCTTCTCTCTCCCTTTACTATTTTTTGAGTTTTGAGTCATTTTCCCTCCTTTCTCCTGGCTGTTTTCTGCGAAAAGCAGTAGCAAATCTTTCCCAGGCTGTTCATCTCACACCTCCCATATTGTTCCCTCCCACCCTTTCTGTGCAGCCAAACTCTTTTGACTCAAACATTGTGGGTTAATGCAGACACCTCCACAGCCCAGGAGGCAGGGGGAACATGGACCCCTCTGGGAGCAAGTGGGGGACAGCTACAGGCCACCATGTGGGTGCTGATGCTGCCACAGGGCACTTTGCCACCACTGAAGTTCAGCTGTGGATAGATCTGAGGAGGGGTTGGCTCAATGGACTGTCCCTCATCCAGCTCTGGTCCTTCTGGAAATGCCAGTCCCTCCTCCAGGGCTGAAGCAGTGGTGGAAAAATTTGAGTAGATTTGGATTCTTTTCTTATCAGCGTCCCTTGTTCACCAGGCTCCCACTGGAAGCAGATCCTGTGGCCCTGCCCTGCCCCAGCAGGGTCGTGCTCCTCAGAGGGGACGTCAGCAGTGAGCAAAGGGACTGCAGCCAGTTCCCACAGAGACTGGGGGTGCAGAGGGGAGAAGGACCTTGGGTGGGTGAGATTTATGTGTGACTTTTAGCAATGTTGGGAGTGAGCAGCACAGGGATTGGGGCAGCCAGGAGTCCCTTCTCCCACTGCTGCAGCCAGCTCTATTTAGCTCAGAGGGATGAGGAGGGCAGCAAGGAAGAGAGGAGATGAAAGGCTCAGCCACCCACGTTTTGTGGGGGCCTTGATGTATTTCCAGGCTCCTCGCTCAGACAGCACTGGGAACAACCAGAGCAGAGCAGAAAAACAATGGCAAGGACAGGAGAAAATCCTCCCCTTAGTCCTCATCACAGTAGAGGGGTCCTGAACACCCTCCCAACCTTCCCATGGTGTAGATGGTGCTGTGCTGCTGCTGAGCCCTTGGGAACAGCAATTCCTCACAGACTTCAGCCCACACCCTGCTCCCAGGCATCACCAGGTGCCCTGGGGCCAGCACTGAGCCTCTCACACGAAGGTGAGGCTTTGGCTCACCCCAAATCTGCCCAGTGCAGGGACTCCTGTGCTCCCACTCTGCCGTGTCCTGTGCCTGCTCTGGCTAGAGCCAGCATCTCCTGGAGAGGGCACAGGGAAGAGCCTCAGGTCTCACAGAGCACCAGTATCAGTGGTACCTGAGGATGCTGCAAGCCCAGGTTGGTGAGGACAAGAGAAGACCCCAGGCCAAGGCCGTGCAGCACCTTGCCTTCAGATCAGTGCTGCTGTTTGCCCAGCTCTCACTCCCACTTGCATCTTATTTCTGCTGCTTTTCTGGAACTGACCCTTTGGCCTGATCCTTGCTAAGGTAACCAGGAACCTGGCAACTGGGATGCTCATAAATTAAAAGGCATATGAATGATTGCTTCATTAAAAATAGCATGAAGTGTATTTTTCCACTCTGTGCTCTCCAGACCTGTCCCTGAGGGGGAGCCCTCACTAAAAGTGGATGTTGTCACCCACCTCCATCCCCTGTGGGGTCACAAACACAGTCTGTGCTCTGTAGGTCTGAAATAAGGGCCTGGAAAGGGCACAGCCTGCAGCATGACAGAGTCCTGGAGATCAGCTCACAGCCTGCTTCCAGACCCTGTCCCTGACAGAATCCCACTGGCAAGGCCAGTGCCCAGGTACAGGGACAGCCCCAGCAGTGCCTGGGCTGGGTATGAGCATGCTGGGGTAAACAAGCTCTGCCCTTGCCAGCTGGGACTGCAGCCTCTGCTCTGGGGCATTGCCACCAGCACCAACCACCTCGAAAATCCATCCTGAGCAGCAGTGGGATAAAATTAATCCGACAATGCCCTCTGATGGTGGAAACAAACAACCCTGGTGTGAGCGGTGCATCTGGCATTACTGAGCCTCATGGGACCAGTAACACTCCCTGGGCTTCATCTTGGGCTATAGGTGCCTGGGGACAGATGGGGACAAAGCAGAGGGGCTGCAGCAGGAGAGATGCAGAGAGGGGCTTGGTTAACCACAGGCACTGCCCAGCTTTGCTCTCCACGGCACCAAGGGTGGGATGGGCTCCGATCTGTGGGTGCCAGGCTGGATTTGCATCTACACTGGCAATTCCAGGGCCAGCCAGGACGTGAGCCTGGCCCCATGACAGAGCTGCCACGCAGCTGGGAGAGCTCCTACCCTCATGCCCAGGCTGAGGGGGGAGGCAGTGCTGGTGGAGAGATCACCCCATGCCTCTGGCCCCAGGTAACCTTGTGTTCCATGGGTCCCTCTGGGCTCTGGTGACACCCACAGTGTCTCCCTGGTGTTTCATGGGTGCCTCTGGGCTCTGGTGACACCCACAGTGTCTCCCTGGTGTTCCATGGGTGCCTCTGGGCTCTCGTGACACCCACAGTGTCTCCCTTGTGTTCCATGGGTCCCTCTGGGCTCTGGTGACACCCAGTGTGTGCCCCAAGCTGGCCCAGAGCTCAAGTGATAACTCACCCTGCACATGAGGCACCAGCTCACAGGGGTGAGTCCCCTCCTCTGGGTAAAACACCAACATGTCCTGTCACCCTGGCGAGGTGACAGCTCCCGGCTGGATCATTGCCTCACTGGTGTGGATAAAAAAAACTGTGCTTCAATAAAGAAGCATTAAGATGCTGCAACATTGATGTGGCATTTCTTTTTCCCCAGCCAGAATCATTCCCCTGCTCCAGAAGGAAATCTTTCTGCATTCTCTTTCTCTTTGTTGGGCTCCTTCTGGTTCAGTAATCTCTCTATATGCTGGTCCTTCCTTTCCAAGCTCAAAACCCATCTCCTCTACCCTTGGTTGGTTGGGATCCTACATGACTCCCCAACAGCAGCCCTGGCAGCTCTCCACATCTCCCCACCCATGCCAACCCCACAATGAGCAGGACAGAGGCATTTGGTGGCTTTTATTAGGAGCAAAGCCCCTCAGCTGGGTTTGTTTTACTGTCACAGCTAATGGCAGGTTCAGAGAGGGCCATGCCATGGCAGGCTGAGGTGCAGCCCCCAGAGCACTGCCAGGGAGGGGCAGTGCAGCAGGCAGCAGAGACCATGGCCAGGGGCACAGCACCAGCCCCACCACACCTGGCACCTGCAGGATCCACCTGGGAAAAGGAACGAGATCCGAGTCCTGCAAGGGCACCAAGAGAGCCCTGGTCAGGGATGGGTGGGAAACATGTCCCTGCCACAGCTCTAATGCAAGACAAACCCAGCCACATTTACAGCCCTCCCTCCACCTCACCGAAGGACAGATTCATCACCCCACCCATGCATCTCCAGCCATGGGACAAGGAAGAGCTGAGCTGGGACTCCATCATCAGGGCTAGTCCAGGACACTCACCCCACTCCAGCCCCCTGAAGGGATCCACCTCCCCTCCATCCTGGTGCCCCAACCCAGACCTACCTTGCTCTTTGTCTTGTCCTCCAATCTGTCCTCACTTGGGCACTGTAGGAGAGCACAGGAGACAAAACCCCTTGAACTCCCCTTGTCTTACTCCCCTTTTGACTCCCAAAAGTGCTGTGTGCTCACCTCAATGAGCACCAGCACATCTCAACCCTGCACACCCCATCCCTGCACACACCTGCTCCAAGCAATCCCACACCCCACCCTCACTGCCTGCTCCTGCCAGTGTCCCCGAGGTCCCAGCCTGGGTCACTCCCAGGTGTTTGTGTCCCCAGCAGAGTGCCCAGCTCCTCCTCCTTGGCTAGCTGGACTGATCCCCCAGTGGGGCAGCAGGGGAAGGGGGATTCTGCCCCTGTGCCCCACTCAGGTGAGGCCCCACCTGCAGAGCTGCCCCAGCCCTGGGGCCCAGCACAGGAAGGAGCTGGAGCTGCTGGAGAGAGCCCAGAGGAGGCCACGGAGCTGCTCCAGGCCTGGAGCCCCTCTGGGAGAGCTGAGGGTGCTCATCTGGAGAAGGGAAGGCTCTGGGGAGACCTCAGAGCCCCTTCCAGGGCCTAAAGGGGCTCCAAGGGAGCTGGAGAGGGACTGGGGACAAGGCATGGAGGGACAGGACAAGGGGGAATGGCTCCCCACTGCCAGAGGGCAGGGTGGGATGGGATATTGGGAAGGAATTGCTCCCTGTCAGGGTAGGGAGGCCCTTGTCCAAGTTACCCAGAGAAGCTGTGGCTGCCCCTGGATCCCTGGAAACGTTCAGGGCCAGGCTGGACAGGGCTTGGAGCAATCTGGGATGGTGGAAGGTGCCCTGCCCACGGCAGGGGGTGGGACTGGGTGAGCTTTAGGTCCCTTCCCAGCCAGAGCATTGCTCTGTTGAGGGTCCCTGCCCAGCTGCACTCAGGATGTGCCTGTGGGGCCACGGGCCCGGGGCCAACTGGGTCAGTGCTCCTGGAGGGTGCAGAGCAGCTCCCACAGAGCTGAGCACTGACCCTGTGCACACACCCTGTGCCAGACCAACAGCTCTGCAGCTTCCACAGGGCCTGGGGTGCTGGGGCTGCCAGACTGGAGCTCTGCCTGTGTTGGAAGTGGGGCAGAGCGTGTCTGGGGGTAAGAGTGTGCTTGAAAGCCACAGGAGAGGAAATATAAGTGTGTAAGGACACCTGGCCAGCACAGGAACACACAGAGGGTGTGTGGGCAGTGATCCTCCTATGGGCCAAACAGGGGAGAAACATGGGGCAGGTCTGCTCTGGATGCACTGCTGAGGCAGGGAAATGTGAGTGGGAAATGTGGGCAGGATGCCAAGACATAAATCAGAGCAGCCCAGATGCAGGGGAGGAGGTTCACACACACCCCCCTCACCACTCTTGGGACAAGAGCAGGGGCAGCCAGTGCTGGGCTTGGCCTCCAGCAGGTCCTCTGGCTCTGCCATTTCTGATTTCCTCCCCATCTTTTTCCCCACGAATAAGGAAAGGTGATTTCAAGATGCTTCAAGACCAGAAACCCAAGCAGCCCAAAGGTGCAGCTCCCCAGGGCTGCCCAAAGTCCTTAGACTCCCTCACAACCAGGATCAACCCAAAACAGGGACAAACCACAGCCCTGGGAAAGTGAGACCTGGAAAAGGCAGGCCAGGGCTCCTGCTCCTCCTTCCCTAAGGAACTCTCACCTTTCACATCCAGTCTGCAGTCTACTGAGGCTTCCCCCAGGGGGTTCACAGCCTTGCAGGTGTAGACACCCCCATCGAAAGGGCCAGGCTTGCGGATCTCCAGGGAGCACACGCCCTGATCAATCAGTGCTATGTATTTGGGATCTTCCCGGATCTCCATCTGATTTTTCAACCAGATGATTTTGGGCTGAAAGTTTAAAGCAGGGAGAGAAATGAGAAATCTAATGTTACAGACATATTTTCATAAAAATCTTTTCTTTAAGATTTTTCTCTTTTCTGAGAAGCTGTGGCTTCAGCAACAAAATGTAAACAATGGTTATCTGCTGCTGTGGAATGCAACAGGTGGATCCGTGATTTGTCTCCTGTGGATGTTTGGATTTACTGACCACTCACGGCAGAGCTGGGTCTCACTCTCTGCTGAGACACAGACCTTTGTTATTCATTCTTTGCTATTCTTAGCTTAGTTAGCCTTCTGAGAACTTTAGTCTCTTCTATTCTTTTTAGTATAGTTATAATGTAATATATATATCATAAAATAATAAATCAAGCCTTCTGAACATGAGGTCAACATTCTCGCCTCTCTCTTCATCCTGCAACCCTTGTGACCACTGTCACAATCTAATTGTCCCCAAAATACAGCCACCTCTCTCTGCCTTTGCCTTGGCCCTGCCTGAAGCTTGTGGCCACGGTGGGATTCACAGTCAGAAGTATTTTGAAGATCCAAATCTCCCACTTGTGAGCCCTAACCACTGCTCCACCCTTCCTCCCCCAGCACAGAGGAAACAGGGCATGGCTTGATTTAAGACCAGTCTCCCATCTCCTTGCAGAAACACCCCAGTTTGACTCAGAGGGCAACTTCAGCTCCTTAACCTCACCCAACCCTAATCCAACAGCACCAACCATCCCCCAGGTGGTCTCCCACCTCCAGCCACCTTGCAAAAACCCCCCAAGTGTCCCCAGGAGAGGTTACAGTGTCCCTGGAGGAGGCACCGACCTGGGGGAAGCCCCGCACGGAGCAGAAGAGGTGGGTGCTGTAGCCCCGCGTGGTCGTTCGGTCTGTCAGGGGCTGCGTGAACTTTGGGGGCTCCATCATGTCCCGCTGGGGGATCTTCTCTGGCTGGTAAGTGGTTTCTAAGGAAGGAATTAATTCTAGCTGAGACCTCAGGCTCCCAGGCTGACCAACACAGGAATTCAGCACAAGGTGCCCAAACCCATTTCTGTTCCCTCTTGTAGGAAGCAAGATGTCAGCTGGCCTGACCCAAGGACCTGGCCCTCAGCTCAGAGCAACCCTGTTTCCTCATCCAATCATGAGATGGCAGTGCCCAGGCCCTGCAAGGGACAGGGGGAATGCCAATCCCACTGTGACACATCCTGTGTGCAGCAGTGAGACCCAGGCCGGGCACACTCTGAATCTCCCACTCCATCCCCAAATCTCAACCACAGAAATAAGAGTTGGAAGGAAGCTCTGCAGATGGCAGAGACCCTAGGTCACTCTGTGCTACCAGGGAGCAGGATGGAAACAGATGGAAGGAGAGCAGGGCTGGTTGGAGATTTGGCCCTGAGCTGTGGACAAAAAGCCAGGGCTGCTCTGACTCTTCCCAGCTCCTGTTTCCATCTCAGCCCAGGGATGTCCATGCCTTGGTTCTTCCAGGGGGCTGAGCATGGCATAAGCTCTCCCCAGAGGAGAAATGAGGTGCAGAGAGGGGACAGGGTACCTCTGGACCTTGGGGGTGCTCAGCCTCACCCCTGCTGGTCTTGTCCTGGGGACCAGCCCAGCAACATCAACACAACTCCAAGGAAGTCCCACGGGCCCATTGGTCAGGACCCCTCTTGGACAGCCCCCTCCCCAGTCCCTCAGCCAGGGATATGTCCCCACTTGTCTTCTCGATGTGGGCCACTCCAGAGGCCACCGCAGCGCTGTCGCTGAGCCCGCAGATGTTCTCGGAGAACACTCGGAAGGAGTAGGTGTTGCCAATGATGAGGTCGGAGATGGTGCAGCTGGTGCGGGTGCAGCGCTCCAGCACCGTGAACCATTTCTGGGAGGAAAAAAGGAGGGAAAAAGAGAGCAGTGAGGAAAGACGGGCTGTGACAAGGATGGAGAAGGTGTGGGGTGGGGCAGGGAGTGCCACAGTCCCTCTCCCATCAGGGCATCACCACCAACAGGAGTGCCCAGGCTTACCCCACTCTTCTTGTCTGACTTCTGCACCCTGTAGCCCTTGATCTCAGCATTCCCATTGTCTGCAGGGGGGGTCCACTCCAGGGCCACATTAAAGCCCCACACATCCACCAGCTTCAGGTTCTGGGGAGGGCCGGGTGGCTCTGCAAACACAAACACCCTCAGGGTGACATCCCAGTTTGCTCTCCCCACATTCTGTACCTTGGCCATCCCTTGACCTTGCTTTTAATCTCTTCTCACCTTGGTGCAGCACACAAGGGATGAGAAGCTGAGGGGCAAGGCTGGCAGAAACTCTGCATTTCCACCCAGAGAAGTTCACATGCATGATCCTGTTGAGGATCCCACTGGAACAGGGACTCCAGAGTCCTCTGCCTTGTTGCCATCGCATCACATCCCACCCAGAACAAGACCTACCCAACCAAGGAGGAGCTCCAGAGTGATCCTGCAGGGTGCCACCCTCAGCTTACCAACCACCTGGATGTCCAGGGTAGCCTTGTCCTCGGCGCCGTTGATGCGCACGGTGAGCTCGTACTTGCCCGAGTCGGCGCGCTGGGCCTGGCGGATATAGAAGATGGTGTCCTGGCCCGTGGTGCGGATGTTGATGCGGCTGCTGTCCAGGGGCTGCCCTCCCTTGCTCCAGCTCACCTCGGGCTGCGGCTTTCCCTGCAGACACAGGCGGGTCAGCAGCCCCTCGGGCATGGATCCTGCTGGGAAGGACGGGCGGCAGAGCCACCGCGCTGTGTCCGGGCAGCAGCAGCCCGAGGGCCACCTCTCCCATCCAGCAGGAAAGAAGCTGCAGCTGATTCCTGTCAGACTCACTAAGGGGGAGCCATCAGGCTCCAGGGATGAGGTGGAAACATGCTGGCTCCCCAAGGTCCTCATGTAGCCAGCCCAGCTGTACTTGCCAGGGCACAGCTGTGCTGAGCCCAGGCTCCAGCTTAGCACCAGGGCTTGAACTCAGCGTGCAGGGAAAATTCATATCTGGAGCATGGTCAGCACTGAGTTCAAATTGTCTGTGAGACATGGCACGGACAAGCCCCTCAGTTCAGGGGCCTCTCACTCCCTCTGCTTGCCCAAAATGTTTCAGAGCCAGTTGCCATGGTGGCGGTGCTCTGATGATGTCCCAGACATGATGAGAGAGATAGCTGAGGAGACGACCTCCAACCTAACCCACCGGTGTCAGCATTGCTCCACCTGGGCCTGCCCTCCTCCAAAGGCAGCTGGTCTTCTCCAGGGACCCCAGTGCTGTGCTATGGGGTCCCAAGGCATGTGGCCAGATCCTGGCCAGGAGCACGAGCTGAACTGGACTTATTGGCTGAGATAGCAGCAACAGCCAGTCCATGTCAAAATGTGTTTGGGGCTGTCCCACTGCAGCATCATCAACAAAGACGTAGCAGGGGAAAAATGGAATCTGGGCAGGAAGAGGAGAGAGATTCCCAGCCCATCACCCACCCTTGGCCCATAAGACACAATGACCAGGCCAAGCCAGAACACAGTTGGACCCATAAGCTAACCTGCAGGAGCTAATCTGGAGTGAAATGCCCAGCAGATTAAAGCCCAAATCTCCCCGGTACCTGAAAGGGGATCATGATGTTCACAGCATCCCCCACACGCCTGACGTAAGTCTCCCGCAGGTGCCGAGGCATGCGGATCTTCGGGAGCTCTGGGGACAGAATTCCCATTGTGAGACCAGGAATTCCCATTCCTCAGCTGGCTGGCCCTCTCCACACACACCCCTGCTTGGCCACCAAGAAAATCCACCCCAACACGGCCACCTTCTCCCTCTTCTCTCCTGGACAGCTCTGCTCCCCTGCAGGCTGTGCTGGCCTGTCCCATTCCTGTACCCCAGAGTGACAGCCATCCCTGGGATCCCCAGTCACCAACCCAAGGGCAGCATTCTGATGGACCATTCTCCCCTCTTCATGATTCCTGGCCATGGACACAGCCTGGCCTCAACCAGAAGAGCCACAGCACAACCTATATTGCAACAAGGCAGGGAACAGCATCTCCCAGTTGGGAAATATTTCTCCCCCTGACTTTCCAGAGGCATACAGCCCAACCTTCAGCAAGGACAAGGCTCAACCTCCATCTTCCCTGTGCAGTCCAGGCATTTGAAACACCAAGGAGGTGCCTGGTGATACCAGAGTTGTGAAAGGCAAACATCTCCAGGGAAACATAACAAAGACAAGAAAAATGCCCATTGGAGAATGCTCATGGAGCGTGTCCCCTTCCCAGGGTGGAGCAGGAGCTGAACAACTCAGCTGGCTCAGTGATAGCCAGGGATGCCTCTGGAGCCCCTCAGAAGGAGCTGGGAGTCTCTGCCTGGGTTAAATGTGCACGAGCTACACCCTGGGGAGGGGGCCCAGGCAGAATAAACCAGGCCTGAGCCAAACAGCTGTGAGGGCTGGGGAGCAGGGACAGGCCCTCGCTGACAGCTGAGACCGTCCCTGCTCTGCTCTGCTGCCATTCCTGCAGGGATCCATCCCCCTGCTGCCACTTGGGCTCATCAGTCTCAGCCAGGGAGGGAAACCCGACCTCGGGCAGGAATGTTAATTCATGGATGTTTTCCCCAGATCCCCAGTGCTTCTCTCAGAGGGACAGGGCTGGCCAAGGTCAGTGGCCACAGTGACAAAATGCCATGCTGGGAAGGCCTTTTTTCCTGCCCTTGTTCCTGGGAAAATGTGACTCCCATGCTGATCCTTCATCTGGTTTCTCCTTGTCTCTCTCCACCTCCCAAGCCCACTCATCCCACCTGTTGTTAAGCTCCGTGCTGTCCCATTGCTGCTATTTAAAATCCCCTGGGGTGCTATAAATGAACTGGTGAGATGCTCAAAATGCAGGCTGAGAGAAAATGTGAGGGTCAGGAGACAACAGATGGGGAAGGTTTGGGAAGGTTAGGTTAGGTTAGGGAAAGGAAGGGAAGGGAAGGGAAGGGAAGGGAAGGGAAGGGAAGGGAAGGGAAGGGAAGGGAAGGGAAGGGAAGGGAAGGGAAGGGAAGGACCCAGTAGATCAAGTTGTGTGGGAGTCTCTCAGCTTTTTGGGTTTTACACCTGTACACGTGCCTGGAACAAAGCTCAGGCAGCAGGTACAGGGTGTGGAAAGCATGAGCTGTACATTGACCATCTCATGCCAGTCCCTCACACCCCAGTTTTCCCAGTCCTATGAGGTCTGGTGGGATGGTTTTGAGATCAGAGGGGAGCAGGCACAGCCACCACCCTGAAGCCAAATTCACCTCCTCCAAGCACACTGAGAAATTGGACTCTGCAGGACCCTTTCCATGGGTTGATAGTCTTCTCCAAGCCTTTTCTTATGAAAAGCTGGTGGTTCCAGGAATAACTTTTCTTAGTATTTCTATTTTTAAGCAGCTGAAAAATCTGATGTGCTGAATAACAAGAAAACTTGAGCATTAATAATTCCTTCTAGAGGGAAAATTATTCTGTATTTGCTATTTGCTGAGTGCAAACAGGCCCTGCCCTCCTGCATCAGCCTCTGCACATTGGCAGCACCCCGAGAGGAATGTGAGTCTTGCTAAGCATGGGAGCAACTCATTCATTAGCGAGTTCAGCATGATTAAAGTTCCCATGCTCCAGACAACCAGCTCTTGGCTTCCCTGAGCTAAATAAACAAAGCTGTCCAATGTGTGCCGTGGCAAATTCGGGATGTGACACTGCCAAGGGGAGGAGACATGCTCAGGGGAGGTGGATTCTGAGCTCTTGCCATTAAATGGGAAAATGTGGCTCTGCCTTTTGAGTCCTTCACCCCCAAAATTTAAACATCAGCAAGATTGGAGAGGTCAGCAGTCACTGAGAATAACATCTGTCAAAGGCTGGATGGGACCCCTGAGAGGCTGCTCATGCTCAGAAGGGCTGGGCAGAGCTTTGGCACAGAAATGGTGCCCTCAGGGGCAGTACTCACGGAGGATCTCCCTGATGAGCACGGGCTGCTCCAGCGTGGCCGGGGCGCTGCTCCCGCTGGCGCTGACGGCCACCACCCGCACATGGATCTTGTCCCCAGAGCTGAGCTCTGGCACTGTGCAGCGGGTGGAGAGAAAAGGCTCCTGGTTCACAGCTTTCCAGTCTGAACCTGCAACAGAGCCAGCACAGCGCTTTGGATGTGCCGTGGATGGACAGACACACCCTGAGCAACAGGATCGAGGCCCAGAAGGTGAGACCCAGGGGCAAAGAATCCTTTCCTTGGAAATGGGGAAGGATTTGGGGCACCAGCAGAAAAAGGAGCTTTGGCAGGCAGGTTGGCCACCCCTGCCAAGGAGTGTGGGGTATGAAGTGCTGGCAGGAGCTCAGCACTGGAGCACGAGGACATTTGCACGCAAGAAAAGCATCGGGCCAGCAAACACGTCCCTGCTGACCAGGTGCATTTCTGAAATGAAAGATCCTTGGAGCTCCCTGCTAGCCACTCTGCTCCTCTCACTGCCCCAGGACAACACTGGGGCTCACCATGGCCTCCACAAACCCCTCCACACCGAGCAAGGTCTGCTCAGGACCTGCCCCTGGCCAGATGGACCTCTCCAAGTGTTCTTCCCGCTTGTAAGGGACGTCTCAAACTCAACACAGAGTCCAGCCCCAGCTAACCTGGCTTTGCCTCTCAAGATGTTTCTCACTTGGAAAATAAACTGCCCCAGTATCCCAGGGAGTGGGTGTCCCAGGTGGGCAATGAGAGTGACCCACAAATGCCAGGGTGTGCCAAGCCCCCATGTACACCTTCAGAACAGGAAAGTTTTCTTGTCAATGCCACTGGAGCAGCCAAATCCCATCAGATCCTCTTTCCCTTCACCACTGGCATTGCCCAAATCAGCCCTCACTCAAATCTCACCATATTTTAGCCAACCGGAGTCTTGTACCCACCCAAACACAGCAGTCCCGTGGCCCCTGGGTGATGACAGAGGGACTGGAGTTCTCCTGTCCTGCAGCAGACCCAAAGCAAGCCAGGAGAGCATCCAGACTGAGCCCTTAGGGGGCTGTCAGACAGATCCCTCCAGGAATGTCTGCATCTTTCCTTGTCCCATGCAAGGACCTCCTCACGCATCCCACCCAGTCGTGGTAACCTCTCCACCTGCAGCCCAACAGTGGGAGCCTCCCACAGCCAAGAATGTGTCCACCATGTGTGCCACAAGCTAAACAGCTGAGGATCAAGTTCCCTGAGGGCCATGGGTCACCTGGGCCTCCCAAACCACTCCAGCCCAGCCTCCCCTTGTGGATCCTCCCATCCACACAGACCCTTCACTCTCACCCCAAAGCCCAGCAGGGCTTCAAGAGAGTGCCCAAAACACAAATCTTATCCACTCACCTTGTTCCACCTCCCAGCAGTACAACTGGAGAACCGTGGACAATTGCTGGACAACTGCTGCCACCTCCCAGCCCACCTCCATCCACCACAGCCACTTTCCTTCCAGACATTATCAAGTCTGCTGATACATGCCCAGGACCCTTCCCTTCTTCATCCTCCCATTTTATCCCCATTCTTTCCATGCTTCATTTTTGGGCAAACATGGGAGGGTTGAACTTTTTCCTCCTGTTTTCTTGAAATGCCATCCCAGCCCCAGGTCTCTGCAGCTCTGGAGTTCATCAGAGACCATTCCCAGAGGGTGTGCTGGTCTCTGCTCCACCCTAGAGCTGGACACAGCAGTGACTCTAAACCTGCTCCAAGCCCCTGCTAAAGCCATCACTTGTCTGACAGGCAATAGGATTCCCTGTTCCTTCATGGAAAAGAAATAACCATTCAAAATTGATCCATTTGGGCAAAGAAAGGGAATTGTTGCTGGGGGAAATACTCTGCTGGGATCCACCCAGCTCCATCCCATCCCACAACCGTGCACCACCTCTCCATGCTCATGAGGCGGGAAGGACCAAACCTACTTCCATCTTTGCAGATCTCCACCACATATCCATCCAGGCCTGCCCGGCCCGTCTGCTCCGGGGCTTTCCAGGTCAGCGTGAATGAGTTTTCACTCACTTCTTCCACAGCCAAGGACAAGGGGCAGCTGGGTGGCTCTGTAATAAACCCACAGTGGTGATGGCAGGGCTCGAGTACGGGGCTCTTGGAGGGCAATCACTCAGCCACCACTCAGCCACCAGGTCTGTCTTCAGTCCACCTAATCCCCAGCCCTCTCCCTCTGCAAAAATATCCTTGATGACTTCATCCCCCCATCTCTTCTCCACGGCACATGCCCCCTCCCAGCCTTGCTTATGTACCCTCCCCACTCCACTGTTCCCCACTCACCTTCCTTTGGTTTCTCTATTTTAGGTTCAGGGGCTGGGGGTTCAGCTGGGGGAGCTGGGGAACCTTCTGCAGGCGCTGGAGCCGCTCCTGCTCCAGCCTCTGTGGGGACGGGAGCAGATTCGTCTGTGGGAGCTGGGGGCTGCTCGGGGGGATGCTCGGGGGCTGGGGGCTCTGCAGCAGCTGCTGCTGGGGCTTCTTGCTTTGCGGCTGCTTCTTCCTTTGGAGGCGCTTCTTCCTTGGGGGCTGCTCCCTCCTTGGGGGGTGGCGCTGCCTTTTTCTTGGCCGCAGCCGGTGCCGGTTTTTTGGCTGCCGGTGCAGTTTTGCCGGTCATGGCTGCAGAGCGTAGGGGCTGGCCAAGGGGATGCTCTGGGGTCTCTGCTCTGAGGTGTCTGCTCTGTTTCGGGGTTCCTGCTCCAGATGAAAGTTCTCTCCTCCGGATCTGGTGTCTGGACTCTGAGGTTGGGGTCCCGGCTCAGGACCAGGTGTCTCCGCTCTGGGCCAATGGTCTCTGCTCCGGCTGTGCTGGGAGGGGAACCAGGTCACTGAGCCAGAGCAGGGGCTGCGTGACTTTTATAGGCTTTGGCTGGCACTTGTCACCTCCCTGCAAACCAATCTGCCTGCGCAGGCGGGGCTGCCAGGAATAGCCACCCGGGACCTGCACATTCAGCAGCCCCAGCTGCCCCCTTCTATGGGATGGCAGCACAAGGGCCCGGCCCCCCCAGCGGCCCCCTTGGGCTCACTGGGACTGGGCAGACCAGGGCCAGGTCACCTTTCTTTAGGGACATGGCTCCTGTCCCCAGCATCAGCACCCCTCTGGCTAAGGGCTTCCCCTACCCCTGCCACCTCCTCAGTCACCGACTGCCTCCCAGGCCCCACAGCCTCTCCCTGGACCCCCTCATCCCCCTTGCCTTCCTCAGCCCCTGCATTAACATCAGAAGCACCCCCAAGCCCTCCCTGTTAATCCTGCATTCCCCCCTCAGATCCTCACAGTCCCTGTAGCCCCAGACCCCTCTGGTTCCCCTGCCCTTCTTCAGCCTCATCCATCCCAAATCCCACTGCCCTGAAAGAGGTTGGAAGACAACCTTTGAGTCACCTGGACCAACCCAGCTGCCCACACCCCTAACCCACATTTCTGGGGAAGATAAATCACTCATCAGCCCCATGCCATGCTCTCCAGCCCTCGTTCTGCTCAGTCAGCCATCGTTGTCCAGGGAGCATGTAGACAAGGGGCGTTATGCCACCCCAGAACTCGTGACCAGACACCCTACTGTTACCCCCAAACTCAGATTCACCCCAAATCCCCCCAGTGACCCAGGAAAGCCCCATTAATTCTATGGGTCATAAACCACTCACCCTCTCCTTGCTCCTGTTCCCTGATTTGTCCTCATGCTGTGCATGACACTACTAGAAGTGTCTCTGTATCCCTAACCTTCCTGCAATTAGGGTTGAGAGAGTATTTTTCCCATTTTCCGGCTAGTTCCCATCTCCAGGGATGCTGCTCTGAAGTGGCCAAGCAAGCCTGGCTCTCCTGGGTGCTGGTCCATGGGCTCACAGTTCTGTGGTCCCCAGGAAACATCTCCAGACATGGACAGGAGGGTCAAGAGGAATCTCCAAGACAGCCAAAGCATGAGGCACATTCTCTGCCAGGGCCAGACAATCCCAGCTTTGCTAACAAGGGGCTGGTTTTCCAAGCTGGGGGAGCTGTGGTCACCCAGGAATGGGAGAGAGAGAAATAAGAGCAAAGCCCCATTGGCCAGGCTGGTCTTTAAATGCATGGTGACCCAAAGACGAGCCTGAGGAGTGCACCCCAGCTGGAGCAGCATGACCCTCGTGCTTCAGGAGGGATTTTGTTTTTGTCTCCTGGTTATTTGGCAGCAGGACAAAGCCAGGATACCATGAGATAAGGTTGGTGCCTCAGGGAGGGTCTGTTTGCCCCAAACTGTGTGATAACCCAGATGTTCCTTGATTATTTCCCCAGTGAGGAGGAATTTGAGTAATAAAAGTTCTGCATTACCCAAAGTTCCCTTGGAATGCCTGAGGGATGAAATCCTTGAGGCAGGAGGGAGTGGTGTGGGGCTCCCAGGCATTTGTGGTGCCTGCATGAATGGATCCTGGCAGTTCCTTTTCTGCCCAGAGCACCTTGGAGTGGCTCAAAATTGCCAAGAGGGTCATGAACCAGAAAATTCCCTGCAGCTGCTCCAGCCAGAGAGAGGACAAGTCCTGCTGCCCAGCAGGGCAAGGAAGGCCCAGAGAGGATCATCCATCCATCCTGCTCCAGGTGTCTTGGGCTCCAAGGGGCCAAGTGGAGAAGCTCTGGTTTCTCCACACCTTGGCCCACCAGGATTCCATCGTGCCTTGGATGACCTTGGCCTCCTCCTTGGCTCCTCTGCTTGACCCCTCCACATGGACCATGCCTTGATGACTCTTTCCATCAGCTCACAGGTGGCCAATTCCAGACTCCCCCAGACATCTGCTCAGGTATCTTCCCTGTGTCTTTCTCAACCATGATGTCTAATCTGAACAAAAACCCCACTTCATCGCAAAAAAAAAGGGCTTGTTTTGATTATATCTTAAGAGAAGCAATTTTAAGAGCTCAGAAAGAAAAATTAACCAATACCAAAACTCCAATTCATAAGGAAATGAGCACTCAGATTTCTCTCTGATTTCAGTTTGGGGGAGTGCAGCTGAAAATCACATACTTCCCCAGGAAAAATAAAGAACATCAATGCAATAATTTCCCTTGAAGTTCTTGATTTGAAAGAAACTTGGGTCTGTCAACCTGCTCCATGATGTTTGGATGCTTCTGCTCTGTTGACTCAGCGGATGACTAATAGGTTATGAGCAGATGAATCAACATGGTTTATCACCCACTCTTATCTGGGCCATGTTACTGGAGTTTATTGGCATCTTGTTTATTCACATGTTGGGCAAGTGCTGGGTGCTGAGCAAACCCAGCAGGGAAACACTGAGGAGCTGCTGCTGTTGATGGCAAAGGTCCCAATTCCAAGTCTAAGGGTTTCCCACAGGCTCCAGAGGTGGGATTGACCTTTCCTTGCCCACCATGATGGCTTCACTTGTGGATTCTCAATGGGGATGGAGAAACTGCTGCCAGGAGCCGATTTCACCTCGGGACAGAGCGGGGCTGTCCCAGGCCCCTGTATTCAGTGAGGAAGCTCAAATCAGTCTGGTGATGGAAATGAAAATCACATGGAAGGGGCTGTCCCTGCAGGCAACTGGGAGGGTTGAATATTAAAAATTTAGTGATAATTTAAATATCAGCACATTTTTGCCTGAAACTCGAAGTATTTCAGAATTTAGCTGAAATACAGGTTATCCATGTTTTTCAGTGAGAAAAAAAATCTCTTCCTACAAAAACTGGTACTTTTATAAATTGGCTTTGACCCACATTTCCAGCCCACCAAGTCACTGATACATTTCCTTACTTATTTTCCGAGTGAGTATAGGTCTAAATATAGGAAATATCATTTATGCTAGAAAGGATCAGATCCTCCTCATGCCACTGTTATTCCAAATCCCCCTGATGATGCATCACAGTGGTCGATCATATTCCAGCAGGAAAATGTTTGTTTGACAGGATCCCATTGCAAAGAGGTGAATTTGTTCCCCCAAAACATCAGATGGGCCCATCCAGCCAGAGTCCCAGTTCAGGAGAGCAGAATTCCATTGCAGATGGGATGGGGGAGGTCCCCACCACGACAGCTGATGTGCTGCTGCAGGGAGACAGAAGATGCCTCTGACAGCTGGGGCAAACCATGGAAGCCCCCAGAGATTAGGACCATCCCCTAAAGAGGGCTCCAGGATTAGGCAGGAGGTGGTGAGACCTTCCCATTGCACATCGTAAAGCAAAGGGAAGATCCCAAAGGCCTGGAATAAACAAGGAGCTCCCTGAAGCTGTCACGTCTTCTGTGCTCATCCTCTCCTGTCCCTGTCCCCATGAACACCTCTGGAGATTCTGGTGGGCTCTTTGTACCCCAGCAAGACTGTGAAAGCAGCAGTGGATGTCACACCTGGGCCACCACAGGCTCTGGGCATGGCATCATTGGGCCCTTGTCACAGCCATGGGTTTGGCCAGGGCAGAGGACAGAGCACCAGGGCATCAGTGTGGCTTTCAGCAAGGAGAGCCACCCACAGCTGGATCAGGGGAAACCTGGGACTGACAGGGCCCCCACTGCCAGCCCCAGTGTGATAAATTCAGAGTCACCCAACAGGACAGAGGAGAACCCTGCCCACCTCCCTTTGGCCACATCCAACCCTGCACACATTGTGTGGACTGTGAGTCCATGGGAGACATCACAGAAGGCCAGAAAAATGCCCAAATCTGAATTTCAGCAGAAAGGAGGTGTCCATGCCCCATCAGGGAGGCTGTTGCTGGTGGTTACTGGAGCTGATTCCTGTGTGGGTCTGTGCCCTCCCTTCAACTGCTGTACCTGCCTTTGCCTGCCCCCTTCCAGGGTTAATTCAGATCTCCAGAAAACTAGAGAGCTCATCTGAAAAGCACACAGTGGCCAACCACAAATGCCAGCAGGTTGTTTAGGTAGGCAGGCTCAGTGCCCTACCTACCACCTCCCAAATCCCACATCCCTGCTCAGCATTTCCAGCCTGCTGTCACTGCGATATTCACAGAGCACTGAGTCAAGCAGTCAGGGCAGGCAGCAGGTGGGCTGGGACCAGGCTGGATTTCCATTTGTCTGTCACACACAAGTGGACACTTACTTCATCCCAAAGCAATGACTGCAGGCAGGGGCTCCAGCCCTGAGCTGGGACACAGCCCCAGTTCCCCTCCCAAAGCCCCCCAGGACAGGGCCTGTCTCCTTGTCACCCTGGGAAAATAATTTTAAGCAAGTATTGCTTTGAAATATCCTTGTCTGGTCCAGAAAAGTCAACCAGGTAACAAAGAGACATCAGCAGGAGCATCTCTGAGGTGCTGAGGGGCGTTTCTTGCCTGATGGACATCCCTTGGTGGGCACAGGCCTCTAACAGCCACTGGCTCCAGAGCCGTCCCTGTCACTGGGTGCAGCCCAGCTCACCCCAGCAGCACTCAGCAGCACCAGTTTGATTCACTGACTCTCCAGTAACCCTTTCTTCAGGGAAAATGTTGTTCAGCCCTGACACAAGCTGCCCAGGGCAGTGGTGGAGCCCCCAGCCCTGAGAGATTTCAAAAGCCATGTGGATGTGGCAGCTGAGGACAGGGGTTAGTGGTGGTCTTGGCAGTGCTGGGTTCAGGGTTGGAGTCTTTGACCTTAAGGGTCTTTCCCAACCTAACTGATTGTCTAATTCCATGATCAGTCAGGGTTCACTCACCTCCAGGTG